CAGTCCCCCAACACTGGCACTGGGACCCCCGGCACAGTGCCCCAACAGTGTCACTGGGACCCCCGGGCACAGTCCCCCAACACTGGCACTGTGACCCCCGGCACAGTCCCCCAACAGTGTCACTGGGACCCCCCGGCACAGTCCCCCAACACTGGCATTGTGACCCCCCCGGCACAGACCCCAACACTGGCACTGGGACCCCCGGCACTGGGCTCCTCCTTCTGCAATTTGAATCATTCTCTTAAAGTGACCCCACCTGAACTAAGCTCCGCCCGCCCGCCGGTAAACTAGCTTTACTGTATCCAACAGGCAGCAGACAATGAACTCCACTAAAACCTGGTGTCTTTTCAGGGAGAGAGCATTTTCCTGCTGGACTGTCTATCATGGATAACATGGATGAACTTGGCGGGGGGGGGGGGGGGGCGGTGGTGAGGTATTGGTACTTCCTGGGCGACGGAAGGAGGGTCCTTTAACCACAAGGGTCCTGACCTGAGGAGTGTGAATGAGGTCAGAGGAAGACTGGACCTTGGCAGTAGGGTGGGGGACAGAGGTGCTGGAATGGTCAGTAAAATGTTGCGAGCGCTGGGGCTCTCCGCCTACAGGAGTAAAGGACAGGCGAAAAAGTTCATCACGATCACCATTTTTAAAGATGTGTGCACCGTGAAATTAAGGTCGGGGAGCGAGGTAGGGGCAACAAGAGTTTTGGAGAACCTTCTCGTCTTCCAGCAGTAATTTATATCCATAAAACATCGCGGCTTGCTTCACAGAAGTGATATCAAATCACATCTATCACAAAACCATACAAGGAAGGGTTTTTTTTCTGTGTTTGGCTCGGCTGACCCAAGATTTGTCAGAGAGGTAAATCTTAAGGCCACCTTTAAAGGAAGAAAAGCCCCGCCTTTCCGAATATTTACAGTGTGTACAGTCCAGGACTGCTCAAACCAAGAACAGTCACAGTCCTTCATAAAAGCATGCAGTTCCTACTATCGCTGAAATCAAGGCTGTTTTTTTTAATAAACACACACACAAGCTGTAGGTAAATGTTGCAAATGGAGTCAAATATGTGTCAAACGCACAACTTAATCTGTCAATAGAAGCTACAATTTAAAGCAAATGCGTAATTCGATTTGTATCCACTCAGGAGCCGTTCCAATTGCTCTGTTAGAAAGAACCGCGTTGGTTACAATTGGGAAGAAAGTAGCGAGTGATCTGCAGTCGGGGCCAGAGATACCTAAGAACTGATTTCAACCTCCAGATTCAAGTATCATACTCTCGTTCTCCAAAGCGATCATCTCCCTACAGAGAGTGTGGGTCTCCAGACAGCAGAAATGCCAAGTTGTCTCTTCACACGTACCAGAACACACATACACGGCACAGTTTAAATATCGAACATGAACTGAAAGCCCTGCATAAACCATAACAGCTCTTGCGAACCTCTCTCGCACGCCCATTGCCACTTATTGCAATGCCTGCCCATCTTGCAACATAGCTGGAAGATGAAAAGATTAACGAATGTCCCGCGTGAGAGAGAGAGAGAGAATATTCGCAAAATCATGGGAAGCTAGCGGAAAAAAAAAACCAAAATCACTGCAGTTCGAAAGTGTTCTCTTTCTCCGTAACATGTCTCTCCCTGAATCTCAGGCAAACGTTACAGTTTAATTGCAAACCTCTGCATCACCGGCTCTGGACTACATTAAATGATGTCACAGCGCACATACATGTTTTACTGAATACACGACTCCGCAACTTTACTTTTTTCTATATGTGACTCATTCAAAAAAAAGATTCTTACAGAGGGAGTAGACTCTCGCAAACTCTCCCCTCCGGTCTGTTTGGCAGCAAGACGCGAAAAACAAATAGCATCGTCACAAACTTTACATCAAAACGAGTGAGGCAGCCTCGCTGATGTTTCTCTAGTTTAAAAAAAGAATTGTAGCAATCAATTGTAGCATTTCATATATTATAAGTACTTACACTCAAAGCATTTCTATTGGATTTCTTTCCTGTTTTTTCCCCCTCCTGTCTGCTGGACAAGTCACCCAGATTTCCAAAAGAACAGAAGGGGAGTGGGGGTGGGGGGGGGAAGAGTTTTGTTTTAAAAAATTAAATAGATCCTTGGAAGTCTGTTAGAAGTAGTGAGAGGAAGGACACGTTTTGATTGCAAAGTTTCCACTTCTCAGATTGAGCCGGTGCTGCCAGTTTGCTTCCCACTAGCGTTCTACCAGCTCTCTCTCTCTGACATTGGTTTGTTTTCACTTTTTTTTGAGTCGCCTTCAGACAGACTTTAACGTCACTCTTCCATCACAACCAAACACAAAACAAAATACTAAAAGGAGTGCAGCACTGGCACTGGCCAATCGTCTGAGAGGTTCCTGTTTCTAAGAGACGCAGCGAGGCATTTGGGGAGTAGTAGTTTTTCTTCTGCTTTTGTTGAAGACGTCTTGTTTATTCTTTTAAGAAGGATGTTCAGAGAGTTTCATTGACTGATTTAAAATGTGGGCTTCAATGAATCTGTGTGAGTTCAATAAAATAATTTCATTTTGTGAATCATCCGAGGGCGGAATACATCAGCCAATATGGTTAGATGGCGATCCAGTTGGGGTCCATTGTCATTTTGATTTAAGTAGGCAAAAAGCCAAGTGAATGAAATCATCCTTAAGTGTATGATCTGAGCAATTTGCCTGGTAAAAACATACTTACTTTAATCATTCTGTTCACCTGTTGGCAAATATTGCACAATGTTAAGCATCATTCAAAATTCCCTTCATACTGAAGCAGACAATGTCCAGATGCAGCAATTCTGCACAATATCCAGGCTTAAGCTGACAAATAGTAAGTAGCATTCTTGCCCACAAAAGCCAGGAAATGACCATCTCCAATGAGAAGCAATTTACACCACCTACTTTTGATACCCAATGGCATTACCATCACTGAATCCCCCATGATCAACATCCTGGGGGTTACTATTGACCAGAAACTCCAATGGATTGGCTATCTTAATACAGCAGCTTATCTTTCATCAGAGACTGTGTCCCCAGGTTTAGACCTCACAACCACAGGGAATATCCTGTCTGCAGATACTCTGTCACTTAAAGAATTTTCTAAGTTTTTATGAGTTCATCTTCAATTCTTATAAACTCCCACTAATACAGATCCAATCTCCTCTGTCTCTCCTCAAAGGACAGTCCAACCAACCAGGAGTCAGTCCGGTGGACATCTGTTGTGCACCCTCTATGACAAATTTATCCTTCCTTAAGCATGGGGAGCAGAAACACACACACTACTCCAGATGTGGTCTCACGGGAGTTATATACAATTTCAGCAAGACATTGTTGTTCCTACACCCACACCCTCTTGTGATAAAAATTAACATATCATTTGTCTTCTGAATTGCTTGCTTAATCTTCATGCTAGTTTTCAGTGACTTAGGAACAAGGAATATATGCCCCTTTGTACATCAAAACTTTTTAATCTCCCACCATTTAACAAATATTCTGTATCTTTATGCTTCTGACCAAAGTGGATAACTTTATACTTATCCATTTATATTCCATCTGCCACACTTGTGCCCTCTCATTCAGGATGTAAAGTGTGACATATTTTAAAAATATTATTTGTCGTAAATATGGAATTCTGAATTAGTAACTAATAGGTTTTCTATGTGTCTGATGTTAATAATTAATTTATAACTATTTCTATATCCATTGAGTCACAGAGTCATAGAGTCTACAGCGTGCCATCCAGTTTTTACAATTTAAACTCGTCCAATTTTCCCACGTTTAGTCCGTATCCCTCCATACCTATCCCATCCATGCACCTGTCTAAACATTACTTAAATGATGAAATTGTACTCTCTTCCAACACTACCTCTGGCAGCTCGTTCCAGAAACTCACCACCTTCTGTGAGAAAAATATTGCCCCTCTCGACCCTTTTGTATTGCTGCCCTCTCACCTTAAACCTATGTCCTATAGTTTTAGACTCCTATTCCATGGGGAAAAGCTGTCCACTATCGACCTTATCATGATTTTGTAGGCCTTCTAAGGTCACCCCTCAGTCTCCTACAGCCTATGTGGCCTCTCCTTATAAGAAAAACCTTCCAGTCCAGGTAGTATCCTAGTAAATCTTTTCTGCACTCCTCGTTTAATAATATCCTTTCGCTAGTAGGGCAACCAGAATTGTACACAGTACTCCAAATGTGGCCTCACCAATATCTTTTACAACTGCAACCAGATGTCCCATCTCCTATACTCAATGCTCTGACCAATGAAAGCAAGCATGCCAAAAGTCTTCTTCATCACCCTGTCTACTTATGACTCCATTTTCAAGGAACTGTGAACCTGTACCCTTAGATCTCTTTGTTATATAACTCTCCCTAGGGTCCTACCATTGACTGTTTAAGACCTACCCTGGTTTGCATTATCAAAATGCTTTACCTTGCATTTATTGAAATTAAACTCCATCTGCCATTCCTCAGCCCACTGGCTCAGTTGATCAAGATCTTGCTGCATTCCCAGATAACCTTCTTCACTGTCCACTATACCACCAGTCTTGGTGTCATCCACAAACTTACTGACCACACCTTATAAATTCTAATCCAAATCATATTTATAAACGATGAATAACAGAGGTCCCAGCACCAAACTGATCACAGGCCTCCAGTCTGTAAACCAACCTTCTACCCACGACCCTCTGTCTTCTACTATCAAGCCAATTTTGTATCCAATTGGCTAGTTCTCCCTGGATCCTGTGAGATTTAACCTTATTCACCAACCTACCATGTAGTACCTTGTCAAAAGCCTTGCTAAAGTCCATGTAAACAATGTCTACCACTCTGCCCTCATCTACTTTCATGGTCACCTCTCCAAAACACGTTCGTGAGACATGATTTCCCATGCACAAAGCCATGCTGACTATCTCAAATGAGTCCTTGCCTTTCCAAATGCCTGTAAATCTTGTCTCTCAGAATCCCCCTAACAACTTATCCACCACAGACATTAGGCTCACTGGTCTATAGTTCCCAAGCATTTCCCTACAGCCTTTTTAAAATAATGGCACAATTTTAGGCATCGTCCGCCTAATCTTCAGGCAATTCACCTGTGGCTCCATGGTGATTTTTTTAAAAACAGGCCTGTCTTTAGAGTGAATGGATTTTGTGCACCACTAATGGACATTTATTTATTTTAGATTGTTTTGACATCCAGAAAGATAAGTAATGGAGCCTCATTTTGTTTAACAGAGTTTGAAATCTTTTTTTTAAAACTTCAGGGAAACACCGAAAGCTTAGAGAGAGAGATTTTTAGTTTCAATTTTTTTCCATTCTGTGAAATAGGATGGTTGTTTCAATGCTCCTGAGAAGGAAAGGATTGATAATGAATGAGGTTACCTGAGAAGAGTTACTGGTAGTCCTAGACCAGAAGTGTTGGGATAAAACCCCAAGAGGTTTCTGAAAGTTGAATACAGTGAAACTCAGGTGTGTGACAACTCCAGGAAGAAGTTCTCTGCAGTTCCAGTCTAAAGGTTGAATTCACAAGTGACTTAAGTGGACACTTGTGCAAGTATTGTACAAGTGGTATTTTGGGTACTGTATGGATGTATAATGGATATTATACAAAAAACTGTGCTGTTACTAATTTTAATTTCTCTCTGGGTTAAGTGATGAGGTGAGATTATACAAATCAGGCCAGTTTTCTCTAGAATTTAAAGGTTAAACGGTGATCTAATCAAAGTTGTCGAGATATCAACAGGAAAAGACCAGTAAGATAAAGATAAACTATTTCCATGAGCTGGAGATTCTCCAACTAAGGGGTATAGCCTGAGAATTAGGGCCACACAGTTCAAGAGAGATATTAGGAAGCACACAAAAAGGCTGGTAGGTGTTTGGAAATGTATGCAGGATCAGTTAATTTTGAGATGGATAAATTTTTGCTATGCAAAGGTATTAAGGGATATGGGTCAAACGTAGATATATAGAGCTAGGCTACACATCAGCCATGATCAGATTGAATGGTGGAACAGACTCAAGGGCTGAATGGCCTACTCCTGTTCCTGTGTTCCTGTTTGCTATCTATAAATTACAGCTGGTGATCTCACCAGGGAGATACATAGAACATAGAACAGTACAGCACAGTACAGGTCCTTTGGCCCACGATCTTGTGCCGACCTGTTATCCTACTAAGATCAAACTACCCTGCATACCAGACCCTACATTTTACTACCGTCCATGTGTCTATCCAAGAGTCGCTTAAAAGTCTCTAAAGTATCTGACTCCACTACCACTACAGGCAGCACATTCCACAGCCCACCACTCTCTGTGTAAAGAACCTACCTCTGACATCTCCCCTATACCTTCCTCCAATCACCTTAAAATTATGCCCTCGCATAATAGTCATTTCCGCCCTGGGAAAGAGTCTCTGGCTATCCACTCTATCTATGCCTCTCATCATCTTGTACACCTCAATCAAGTCATAAGGCATTCATTTACCATTTTCTTTCTGTTGCTTGAAGGAAATGGTAACGTATTTATTTTATCTTTAATACTTAACACCTCTAGCAGAATGACAGAAAGAGAAATGTCAGACAACCTCATTAGCAAGTTGTTCATTATTAGCCACCAACAGTAATATTCAGATTATTATGCTTGATCAATTTGAAATCTTGCCAGTTAACTAGCCAGTATTATGCAGCATTTTATTTCAAATGGAAGCAGGCAACGAAATGCTCTGTCAGTCAAAATGAACACAGACTGGGATTTACGAATCAAAACTTTTAGATGAACAGGGCCATATTTAGGAAAGAAATAGTAAACCCAAAGACACAGAAAACAAAAGCCTAGTTCTCGAACATGATACAGTTGCTAGTGGCAAAGAATGTAGTACACTGTGCAGAGTAAAGGTAATAAGTCACTGCATATTGTACATTTGCTGCATTATCTTTCAAGGTCGATATGAAAGGGATGAAACAATCTCACAATGTTCCTGCAGTTCATGACATCACCTCAGCAAGTCACTACGATGTAACATTCTCCAAACTAAATGCAATCATCTATGTAACACACTCCACCAGGTTACCTTATTTGTAATATTGCTCCTGCCTGTGCTTTATCATATGTGTAACGCACTCCAGCAACGCTATTCTTTGCAGTGTTCCCCAGGCCCTCTTTTATAACAACAACTTGTATTCATTAAGTAACAGCTTTGATATCCCAAAACATCCTGAGGCACTTCATGTAACAAAAATTGACACTA